GCCCGACCCACTGTGACTAAAGCAGAGCTCAGTCTGAAAACTAAGCTCTCGGTTTTCAAGTCGATCTCTATCCCCATGCTTGCCTAGGGTTATGAGTCGTGGACCATCACTGAAAAAGTTCTAACACGGGTACAAGCTGATGAAATGATGAAATGGCTTTTCTTAGACGTGTTGCTGGCCTTAGGCGTCTTGTCATGGTCCGGAATACTGACATTCGGGAAAGCCTTGGTGCACAATCTCTGCTTCTCCAGATTGAGAAGTCACAGCTGCGATGGTTTGGACATGTGTTGCGAATGCCTCCAGAAAAGAAGGCTATGAAACTGTTTCTTGGCAAACCGACGGGCAGAAGGCTTAAGGGAAGGCCAAGATTAACCTGTTGCAATTATATGGAAGGAGTCCGTTCCAGACTCCAATTTTCTTCTGCCAACTCAGACTCTGGCACAGGATCGGGAACGTTGGAAGCGCTGTCTGACTCGTTTGCCTGCGCGACCAGAAAGGAGAAGCGGCCATGTAAGATGAAGATCTGACGAAAATCTTTCGTTAATACATGATTCCCTATCCTTATAATATAAGTCGATTAAATATAATGCAATACACTATGTAACACATTGCAATAAGTAATACGCAACACAAGAAGTAACGCAACAGATCGGCGCATTTTATTACCTGATGTCACCAAAGGCGCGTAGCGGAAAGAGGATGCCAAGGAGTCGATCATCTTTTAGTACCGTGTACGCTTCGTTTTTCGGATGTTCCATACGAATGCGCTGTTCTTCTTCCTGGTTGTCGATTGTGTGATCCTTGGTGAGTCTACGCGCCGACCATACACCATCCTCACTTTGAACGCCGAGGACAGCCGCACTGTCGCCGACATGCGCGATATGCAAATGCGAGCCTCGAATTGAGGCTACACATGCACATGAGCCTGACACGACTACTTTCAATTTCATCAGTTCGACTATGCCTTTTTTGTCAGGCATCGCGTCGCGACTCAAGTCGTTGTCAAAGGTAACAAATGCTGTCCTGAACGACAATCGAACGTTGCTGCAACGAGTCAAACAACTATATGGAACCTCGCAACCGTGAGATCGACATCCTCACTCGTAACACTTACCTCAGAGAGTAGTAGTTTTTAGAGCAGTGCCTGGCAAAATTACGAAGGTTCCTAAAATGTGCATCACTAAATTCTGCCGGGATCTGAGGATCTGAACTGGTGCTCAGAATCGTATTCAGCTGTGGAAATTTGTCACCGACAAACAGTTCCTTTAACATCTTTTCCGGCAGGAGGGACAGTGCCATGTAATCGTAAAGACGAGTGGCTGCTGATCGTGAGCATCCACTTCCCCCATGGCCATCGAACACTAAACAATCAGTAATTTACGATATAATGTAAAAGCTTACTGTCAGATGTAGAATTTCCGCACCTCCAAAAAAATTAGTGTTTATCAGGGGGCACCAAGCTTCAGTGTGATGATCCTCACATGGAGAGTTAGCCGCTACTTGATTCGTATCATATCCAAGTACTGAATTGCCTAAAAATATTGCATGCGTTAAGTAAAAGATTGTGATGAGATAATCAATTGAAATATTAGTAATTCAAGAAAGAAAACGAACAAAACGACAGTGAACATCATACTTAAAAACTGATTGCTCGAACCACCCACTATTGGTCGTCCCACTGCGCTGGACTAGTGCACGATGAAGTAAGCGAGATAATATATAGAAAAAGCCTTCGTTTTAGCAACAAATTTTGCAAATTACCTATAAACGAACTACAAATGAAAATTCCTGTTCTCTAAAATGCGGCTACACATGAGCTGTAGTTATGTGTTCAGCGTACAAATCTGATTAGACTTTTCTCAGCCATGAATCGCACGAGGCACCATTTAAACAAACACACGAACAGGCTTTGATCATCGAAACAATATTCCGACTTAGAGACAATGCACTAACTAGCAGAATGGAAAGTAGAACTGAACTTCAGCCATGCGCTACTGCATCGTTCCACTGATCCCAAAGGCCTAGGGCAATATGTCCATGTTCACGAAGAAATCTGATGGAATAATCAATTAAAGAAGTCAGAGCCGAAGAGACTGCCAAAAATCGGCAGGCGTCAGATACTGCTCAGGATGCTCTTGGATGAGTAAAGCTGTGCACTGTGAAGGGGCAAAACAGGCTGTTCGAGCTGAAGCGGACTATAAATTTGGCATTTTACCCTCTCCAATTGTTTTCGAAAACTCCTTTCTGCGCAGCAGCTGGTCGACTTGATATGGAGAAAGCTCTTCCCTCGGATTTGGACGAATCGACGCATGTCTTATGGGTGTACCTGCACAAGCTTGCACGTGCCCGCTGCGGTAGCAGAGCTGACTCAGGCTGTCGAAGCAAATTTTCAAATCTGAAAAACTGGTTTTCCAAACGTCGATATGAAGTAACAATACATTTACTCTGCACTGGAATCGACATCAAGGGTTAGCATAATACAAACGATCTTCAGTCACTTGCACAGTGTCGGCAGCAAAAACACCTCAGGTCATTTCGAAGCAATCTAAAAGCACATCGTAAATTATTTGTAGCATCATTAATACAGCGCTTTACATATCAAGTCTGAATCAGCAGAACAAAGCTAATAATTTCGCAAACGCAAATGATACAGTATTTTAAAATCTTGGGAACTATGGGGAATAATCAGAGTGTATGTGCTTTGTAATAGGAAAAGACGAAGATATTCATGAACGAAAAAAAATGACGCGGATAAAAACCGGTCAGCGTCATCCAAATGCCTTAGAGCAAAACTAAACCTTCAGCGCTTCAAGCTTGTAGGTTTGTGTGCGAGTAAGTTGTGATCATCACCTTCGAATCAGCCGTTTGCATACGCGGTACATCTTTGGTCCGTGATGTGCATTGTATTCACCTCTGCTATTAAAGCACTGGTTACTACATCGTAAAAAGAACAATTCCTCTCCAAAGGCACAGCCATCTCTACCTCGTTCATCTATGTTGCACGCTGGCCTCTTGGTCGATATCTGCGATGGTTCGGCTCCCACACGAGAAGTTCGCAGACTAGAGCGAATAATTCATGCTCAAACAGTTTGTCTAATTTTTTTTTAACTTTCCAACCTCATTTTCTTAATCATCACATGAAGGGCATCTGCATACAAAATAACACAAAGTCGTTCCTGACGTGGTTCCGCTATCTGACACCCATTATGTGAAAAAATCCAACTCTGTAATAAGGAGTAGAAGCATAATGAACATATCAAAACAGCCTGGGTTGCAGTCAATTAAATACTACGATAACTATTTCATCATTAACATATCTTTTCATTGCGACTATTAACATACTCCCGCCATGCAATTCAGCTATCGTATCTTGATGACAAAGCGTATGAGTACGGCTAACGCAAAACAATCGGTGTCCACCAAAGGATGATTCAAGCCGGTAAAACGATACAGCATGCATCTATCCATCGCAGCTGCTTAAACAACATGGAAGAGCTGCCCCAAATGTCCCCCATGTAAATAAGAGCAATAGAGCAGTGGCGTACCGCCGTGTAACCTAGCTTGACCAGGTCCCATATATCCCTAGCGTTCAAGGCCAATTTTTGGTACTACCGATAAAGCACATAAGGATACAAGGAGGGCTGGGTCACTACGCCGTAGCAGGTTCCCAGCCGTCATGAGGAATGAGGAGACTTGGGGACCGTGACGAGGTCTTTCGCAAAACATAGCCACCTGCCCTTCAGGGTATTGCCTCTATCAAACGTTACACCGGCTCGGCCTTAGCCGAAGTTCCGAGAGGCAGCGAAGCTATTCGGCAACTGAGGCAGACTGCGCAAAGTCGTCGATCAGAACCTGCGTCGCATTCTGTCACTTAGAGGCACAGCGTCACGACGACGACTGCCGAACATCGACAGGAAGATGACGGAAGTCCCAAAGTACCAGTAAGCAACAAAGTCGCTAGCCTTTATGAGGGAATGGCGACAGGGCAATGTCGTTATGCCACATCCGCGCATAAACATCATAAGTTGTTCATAGGTTCGAGAATATGAAATAATAAATGACACATTCAAGACCAGATTTCACGGCGTACTGCACCATCGCGCTGCTCCTATTTGCCTAGGAGTTATTTAAATAGGCCAAGGCTCCAAGATATTTGAGCACTTGCAGTGTCAGATGCATCTTGCATCGTTCTGTCCAGTAAAGCACCTTACGCTTATCACGAACGATGTTTCAGGAGCCGGCACGCCTTATATGCTACTGCATAAACATCATAAGCTATTCGTATTTTCAAATATGTCAGATAGCGAGGCTGGGGCGTACGAACAGCCTAGGATGTCTATGATGCTGCATATAAGGACTAGCGCTCCAAAAACATCGTTCTCCAGGAGGCTTTTGCGGAAAAGATGAAGGGAGATCAATCTAGCAAAGTCTACGCACGCGTATTGAAAAGATGTCGCGGAATAACCGACCCTAAAATGCAAGAAAAACAGTGTGGCTTCACACCAGGCAAAAGCACCTCTGATCAGATATTCGCCCCAAGCCACGCTGCTGAGAAAAGAGTGGGAGTTCGCTCATCCTGTGAACATATGCTGTGCTGACCTGCAGAAAGTCTCTGACCGGATCCCGCACAACAAGCTAGGTGCCTGCAAACGTATGGGATCGATGGCTAGTTGTCACGAGCCATCCAGCCACTATATGTTGACAGCAAGTGTTACGTCACACTAAACAGCGTTAAGTCGAAACCTTTCAGCACTGACACTGATCTCGCCAATGATGCATTCTGTCCCTTTTCCTGTTTGTGTTGTATATGGATATAATAGTCAGGCTCAGCCAGGCGATGAGTGCATCAATGTAGGAGATGTCGAGAGAGAAGACTGCTGTGTTCAGATGACCTTGCACCTTGCTTTGTTGGCATCGTCTGAAACTGCCTACAACGGTCTCTGAAATGGTTCGCAGCGGAATGCGACGAGGCTAGTACGCCTGTGAACTTGTCTGAAACGTAATGTGTAGTGCTTTTCCGTTATCCTGCCTTCTGCACTCTGCAGATAAATGGAGAGGTAATGGAACAGGTGAAGCTGTCATACCTTGGGATGCATTTAATGGTGATGGAATATCGGAGGAATCGACTGATCGGCAAATGGCATAGGCCAAACCCTTCTGACTAACCCAGAGCTGAGTCTGAAGACTAACCTGTCTGCGTTCAAGTCGATCTTCTCAATGATCATATATGCTCATGAGTCGTGGGCCATGACCTAAAAACTTCGATCCCGGATACATTTTACAGCTTCTCCAGATTGAGAAGTAACAGCTGCGATGATTTTGGAATCTGCTGCAAATGCCTTTTGAAGGGAAGTATTAATATTCGTCTAACCGATGGGCCGAACACCCAGGAGACGTCCAAAAAATATCTTAGAACAAATGTCTCAAAGGACTCTGCTCCAGACCTGAGTTATCTTCTGCCGAAACTCAAGCGCTAGTACAGGATTAGGAACGTTGGCAATAATGTCCGACGCATCTGCCTCCGCGGATCGAAAGGATACCCGGTTATTACAAATGACTAGAGCTGGATCAGTCATGAAACAAATAACGCTCCACGGACACTAAAATATCGTCCCACTGTGACCCGTTTAAATGGCCTTTTCTGACTTAAGTACAAAAAAGGCGGTGCCATAGAACAGGGTAACTAGGTGTCGTAGAATTATACAGCGGATATGGCAAAAGCCCTCATTTAGAGTGTAATCTATCATACTGCAAACACCAGAATTGAATTTTAATATACCCGAATTAGCGAAAAAAGACCTAGAAACCAATATCGTACTTTATTATAAAGTCATTAGTTGTTTGCTCCGTCTTGAAGAAGACCACTTTAAATCAAACGTATTTTATAGATCAACCTTACCCTTATCCCAAAACAACTGTTTGAAAACAGAGCTAAGTTTGATCTCTAAAATACCTATTACTCGTAAAACCCTCCACTTTTTCATGATAAATGTCTCTGGGCGAGCAAACTTTCCTTTCACTTTTATACTGAGGTTTCGGTTTCTGGCAGAGAAGCTATCATCCAGGATTTTTAATTATTATTTTGAAAAATTCCTGCCGACGGTCTTTGTGTCGAAAGCCGAAACAGAAACAACAGAAACAGAATAAGAGAAACTTGTTACGCCCAAGCCATTTTCACTGAAAACATTGGAGTTTTAACAACCTGAGCGTAAATTGAAAAAGACATTCCGAAAATATCGTTTATTCATATCGTCAACGTTTCTGTCTGACAATGATAGCCTTCTTCAAGATAGAGCAAACAAATAATGATCTCACAACAACAAACTTGGTTGGTTCCAAATATACTTTTGCTGATTCTGGTCCAAGGACAGATGGTTCGATACAGAAATTGCCTTCGAAAAAATAAGTCAATGGCTGGTGGTATCGAAAAAGAAGACGAGCACAAGATCAAGATCTGCGAAAGAAGGGTGAGACAAATGGTGCCCATCACAGCAACGTTTGGCATACCGATATATCAGCCATTATGTTTTATTTCATTTTATTTACAGCTTAGACCTTGTGCTGATGTGGTCAGTCATAAGGGAGTGTGTTAAGAATTTCAGTGAAGAATAAATAGCAAACAGAAAATAGCATGGTCGTTAAGTCTGGCAGCTCTGACGTGGCGACACCAGAACAACATTTTTTTCATGCTGCCCGCAGGATGCTGACTTGCATTTTACAGTGGCACACTTTCTAACAAGGCTTCGAACTCCGGAGGTACCGGGTTCAAATCTGGTGGAAGGCAGTCTCTGACTTAATGAATACCCGTGAGCAAGTAATTCAAGAAACACTGCTTCAGACCGGGGTTGCTCAGTCGGTAAAGCGTCGAATTCAGAACCGAATGGTCCCGGATTCAATCCCCTGTTGGGATCACTAGCCTTTCTTTTCCTACCAAGGCTGATAAATAAGTAACATTACGTTGCAAGGAAACACGAACTGCACACTGTGCTTGCCCCACAGCTGTATCGCAACACGTTGACTTTGCCTTTGAAAAACAAAATAAGACATTCCTGGCTAATGGCACGTAAATGGAGATCAACACCTTATCATTAGTTTCATGAAAAAAAAGGCCATCACAAGTAGCCCCATCATGAAAAGGCAAAGAAAACGGAGATTCCAAAGGTTACAAGCTTTCCTTCCTTTCTTCCTTCTTCTTGACTTGCTATACGATTCTCGGCTACCTACTTCAAAACACAATCTGGTGAATTCTTTGTTAAAGGGAGTTAGCAAAAGCGTCACGCTTTAGTTCAAACCTGTTAAACCAGACATTCAAAATCGAGCGACTATCCTAGGCGCCCTAATCTTTTTTTTCACAGCGACACAGACAAAATCAGCTAGTCACATTCTAATTCGGGTTCGGGCAAACCTGAACGGGAACCACGGCTAATCTAACCGCCGAAATCGAACTGTTTAAGTGCAAATCAGCAAGCACTTTGAAACATTTCATACAAGTCTCTTAAGGCATGAATCGAAGGGCTGTCCATTTTACCGAACAGCTGAAATTCACTAAGTAAACTGCCAAAAGAATTGTTCAAAACTGTATCCAACATTATCATAGAAACGTATCTTCAAGATGCGCACTAACCCCAATGTCTAACACCTCGCAGAAATTTTATCGCTGTAAAACGCTAAAACAATATGGAAATAACGCAATGTTCTGCGTAAGTATCCAAACTTTCTACAACTTTTACAATGAATGAAGCTGATGGCAATTAATGAAAAACTTAACAATACGTTACATGACACAGCTATATCGCAAAGGACTGAATTAATCAAATTAATCAAAGAAACAAACATGACTCATGCGTGGCATCAAAATGATTTAAGAAACCGCTATAATTTATATAACCCCAGATACAGAGGATCTAATTCTGGACAGCTGAACCCTGGACTCAAATTCTTTGAAGGAAATCCTTTCTTCTTTCTACCTGAATTGAAATTTTCAGCAATGATGCAAATTTATTCTCATAATGCTAAGCAGTTCAGAAAATTGCCAAAGACCAACCACTGAATCATTTAAGATACTCAAGTTACAAGATTACGATTATTTTTTTGATATTTTGCGTTAAAGAATTCTAATGTCATTACCTTCATCATTTATTTCAATGTTTATTTTATCATCGTTCAAATTGCTCATAGTTTAGGCACATGCGCTGGGTACAATACTTTTAGCCGATGATATTTTATAATCACTTTTCATTTTTCAAAACAATTCCAGGGTCTTCGGCCATTTCTATTAGAAGAATTGAAGTTGAAGAGAATGGTTATTGTATTGATCAGTTTTGCTATTGTGGCAATCGCTACAATACCAATAAAAATTATACTGGTAAGGTGCAAGAAGAGTGTCCTCGACCCACGCTTACTCGCACTGATGAAGGCAAAAATGCAGCAGAAACAATCAGGAACATCTGTCAAAATACACTTGCTAGCTGGGAATAAATGGGAATTGAAGCTGGAGAGACTCTCAATGATAAAGCTTCCAAAATATTTTTGTATTTGTTGAGATGTTTTGTGCGCCATATAAGCTTAATAAATTCAGAATCCATGTGCCAGTTGCATCCGAAACCCATGGATGCTTTGTCTCTCTGACAAACGCAGCCAAAAATCGGAAACGAATGATAGCTTTCATCGTAAGATTCGGCATTTCGTTCGTGCGTTAGTGATCATTCTGAAAAGCATAATAAGACAGTTTATTTATAATCAGCTAAGGAAATATAGTCAGTCATATGATTGACCAGTGCCAACGTTTCGGCCTGAGTCTCATGAGTCTGCTCTAAGGCAATGGTTGGATGACTGATTTAGAAAGTCCTTCCGTTGCTTGCAGCTAACTGGTTTATTGGCTTCACGCATACAACCCGCTGCGAATGACAGATGATTTCTGAAGTTGCACACCAATCTTCTTATGTTCTGTATAGGAAGGGCACGTCCATCGATGGTTAAAGCGCAAGGAAAATCACCAGAGGAAGGTATCAGTACGACTGGAGCTTTAAGGATGAATTAACCATTCAGTCCTGCAACAGTATCGACTGTGAAAAAGGACATGTTCTCTACGCGCATTGAATGAGCCTCGTAACTCAGACCGCTCGCAACATGAACCAAAATTTTGCCTTCTGGTTTCAAACCTGAGGAAAGGTACGAAGAACAAGTAGACTTCCGAAGCCAATCAACAAGCCACATTACGTTAAAGAAAGCCTGTGAAACACAGGCTAAAGCATCGCTACTAGTAAATCATTGATCATATTTTTGCGTCGTTTATTAATGAACAATGTTTATGCTATTATTCAACAGTGAAACATGATTAATGAGCGACACTTTGCTGTTCAAGTCTTGTTAACAATGACATGACGATAACAAAGGGACAGCAACATTTGCCTCAATCGATGCCCTTAATACTCAGGGGCAGCCCTGGGTCAGACTAATATGCAGATCGCTACCTTGAATTGAAAAATGATTGCGGATCTGGATAAGAGCGATCCTACATCCATTGGCTCACTAGTAAAGTGTGCAGACCAGTTCAAGATTCATTTTCCTTCTCTTCTTATATGTGATTTTATGCTGTCCCATACCACCGACGAAAACGACGTCATTATGTAATTTTGCATAAGTGACTAAATTAAAGGATTTCTATCGCATAGCAAAAGCCAAAGAAGAAAGAGCAAGAGACGACAGTAATGTTAATACCGTAAAAGACGAAAGGAGAATGGTGTTGACCGACGAGAAAATTATTCGCAACCGATATCGAGCGTACTTCCAATCGTTACTAAACGAAGAACATCCCAGGGAGGTTCCGGAAGAGATTTCGGTAAACAAAGGTCTAGTCGTTAAGATTTCACCTGAGAAAGTGAAACAAGTTTATAGCAGAATGAAAAATAAAAGACCCTTCGTCCGAACAGAGTTCACATAGAAGGATGGAAAGCTCTGCAGCAAGAAAACACAATTTGACTCTGCGCGCTATTCAACGAAATTATGGAATGTGAGAGAATGCCAGAATCATGGAGGCAGAGTATTTTGATGCCAATGTACAAAATGACAGGGGTCATGCTCACCTGTGAAAACTAAGGAGAAATTAAACTGCTTAGTCACACGAAAAAGATATACGAGGCAGTGCTGAACAAATAACTGAGGAAAGAGGTCAATATCACGTCGACCAAACTTGGTTTTATGTCAAACGGATCAAACACGGATGCCATCTTCGTTTTAAGATTAGGCCTCGTATCATGGAAAGAAGTCAGACAGAACATTTGCATGGTGTTCCTAGATTTGAAGGAAGCTTCTGACCGAATACCTAGACAAACAGCCTGGTAGAACAAGTGAAGGAAGCTGATGCCAGTAAAATACGTAAGGTTAATCAAAGCCGGTATCCGGAAAGTTCACCGACTGCAATTCACCAACAGGAAAATTCACCGACTGGAATATTCACCAACCAGCAATTCGTCGAACGGAAAATTCACCGATTTTACAATTGATCGCCGATAATTCATGTATAATGATCATAAACCAGTATTATTTAGAAATAGTATATTTG